CTTTATAGAACAAAATCCTTGGCAAGTTTCTTGACACCGTCTCTGAAACGCTCTTAATAAAATATCGGATAAAAAGGGGGACGGGACCAAATCAGACTTACTCCCGCCTGCAGTGCTATCACTTGATCTAATTGCTTAATATAATTGCCTTTTTGTTTGTTTCTCGAAGGTATAGATCCACCCTTCCGATTTACACCTGCAGCGCTTCAATCAACAAGTCTCTCAAACTGGCGGACAAACTTTAAGGTTGTTGAATTGTAGACAAGTTGATTGTGTAATAGTATTTTATAAAGGACGAACTGGAAATGTTTTTGTTTTCTTTTTATGGCGAGACTATCTATGGCACTTTCTTCCTTTCTATGTTACTCTGACTATATCAGAACGCCTCACCTTTTCAAAACCAGCTTAGAATTTGTTTGTTTTCTGTTTTTTTTTTTTTTTAATCTGACGGGTTCATTAAAGTCTTCCTGCTAAAGCGTTTGAAGCTCAGTGTTTACAAAATTAGGAAAAGATGGACATCAGTATACACAACAGTCAGCCGGCGGTCTTCATCTACTTCATGTACCACATGAAGTAGTCCTTTGGGATAAAGGTATTATTATTTTTTAAAGTGAGCATGTAGAGATGAAACAATTTTTAGTGTAAGTCCCATCTGGGGCTCGGATTTTTCTATTACACTAAATATTATTTTTTAAGTCCCATAACTGACTCCAAACACCGTATTTACTTGTTGGTCTAGCCTCAGTAAGCAGTCAATGCCTTCCATTTCAGAATTCTGAGATTTCTGGGTGCTTGAAATTAAAAGAAGAAATCGTTAGCAATTTTAAAAGGGCCACACTCAACCAGTGTGTTTTGCGCGCCCTTGTTATTGCTACTAATCGGGAACTCGACAATTTTTTTTCCACAAACCCACGAAAAGGAAAAAAATACCACAACCGTGCAATGGAAACGAAAGTTTACAAAAGAAAGAGGCATAAAAGAGAATCGACCCTTGTCTTCCAAGCACCTCAGAAAAAGACATTAGCCATATGATATGGCGGCTTTCCGTCCCTGCAGGACGACCCTTCTTTCAATGGCCTCGATAGCGTGAATGCGGTTTGAATACCACAGAAATAAGTAGAAAATAGTCGATAGGCATTTGAAAATATTAACCCAGCCGAAAGGTGTTGATTAAGATTCAGTCGAATGACACTACAATCATGATGGGGTTTCCTTTTCTGAAACACAGAAAATGTTCCATTGGCCACTCTCCCTGCAATGCATCCTGGCTAAGCATAATCCTTCAAGGTCGTAAGCCTTTAAACAATGCGCGGAGTAAGAGAATGATCTTTCGTGTCGAAAATTATTCTTCCACATATACAACATCTTGAGTACGCAACGATGAATCTAATCGTATCCATAGCGAAATTTTAGCTAAATTACTCCCGAAGTTCACACGGAAAATCTACCTGTATGTTGATTATCAAACGATGACTCGCCTGAGCTTGATATCAGTAATTCAATACGTTCAAACTATTGTGCAAGCTACAAGACAAACACGCGTATCTACATCTTCATGAGCCGTCCGGCAATTCTGCTGGTGTTTTTTAAGCTTATTCTGAACGTCTCTGACCTTAAAATGTTCAGGGCGAAGGATTTCAAAATAAATCGCCACAGCAAGATCATCATATCTTTACGCCTGGACGATGTGACTTTAATGATTGTGTATATCGCCTATATTTTCATAAGTTTATCCAACTTTATGATGATCAGGTCCAAGCTGTTTCAGACGTATGTCCAGTGCACGTGCATGGTAGCCCTTCGCTTGCTCGAAATCACCTAGATCACTGTATACAGTACCCAGGTTATTGTAAGAATTTGCGAGATATACATGTACAGGTCTGAGCTGTGTCCAACGAATGTCTGGTAGACCTTTCCTTGCCCGAAATCACCCAGAACACTGTATGCAGTACCCAGGTTAAAGTAAGAACGTGAGACATATACATGCTCAAGTTCTAGCTGTGTCAGACCATTGTCCAATGCACGTGCATGGTAGCCCTCTGCTTGCTCGACTTTTTGCCTCTCGACAATTACCACTTCTCCACAATGACCACTTTCAGTTTTGGTCCCGGCGGGCTGTCCATAAATTCGTTTAAAACCCCTTTTAAACGTCCATTTTCTTCTGTCCTCAAGGTGGCCGTTTTCTTCTTCTTCTTCTTCTTCTTTATTCCTCTTCGTTCCTAGTGGAACACAGGTCCTCAACTAGAGCGCGTCACCTAACCCTATTTTGTGCAGTGCACTACACAAAATGGGTGGCCGTTGTGGAGAGGTTCAACTGTAAATGGAAAAGATGGAGATAGAGCTAAGTAAAAACTGTATGTTTTTACGGCTAACGACTTAGCCCGTTAAAACCCTCCAAATATCCAACGAGACTCATAGTGCCGAGTTTTTTTTTCCTTGTTTTGTTGTTGCTTTTGCTTTTGTGTTTTACTTCCTAATTGTTTGTCATTCCGTATGCCTGTGGGTTGATCACTCTTATTCCTCGCGGTGACAGCTGTGGGGAAANGACCTTAAATGTACAACGCATACGATCCCACCTTCCAATTTTAAAGATTCCTTTGAAAAGTATATATCTCAGTCATTTACAATTTCAATTCTTTGCTTCGCAGCGTATACATTTTATGACTTCAAGTAGAAATTAGCAGGTTTGTGTTTAATTAATGTAGGTGGTTGATATCGTTGCAATTTTTTTTCAGTAGAAGTTATTTGCATCGCAATACACTGACCGCACACGCAAGTAAAGGGATTGACAGTAAAAACTAACCTCTATTCTTAACCATGGATTTATCTGGTTAGACAGAAAGGTTTGTCTTTAACTTTGTTAGAATATTTTGTTATGATGCAATAGTAATGTAATGATACTAAAAATAATCGTATTACAGATCTCTAGAAAATTCTAGAACATTTTGTAATACATATATAAGGAGTCGCGAACGTTAAAAGTTAGACAAGCTTTCAGTAGTTACTGTTGTCGTGAAGAGCCCAGACGAGCTTGTGTTATTTCAGAGCCGGACCACAGAGAGTTGTTGGAGTTATTTTCTGTTATTGGAGTCGTCAGCCGTGTGGAAGGCTACGTTGGAAAAAGTTTAAGTGGACAGCGATACGTTATAAGGATCTCTGAAGAGAACTGTGAGTTGTGCAGTAGTGTACTAAAGTTATAGTTTTATAGAGGGCTCTAAGCTAAGATTATAGTTATCGTACTGCTTATTGGTAGCG